TCAGCCGCTGTGTGGGGCGGAGCCTGCGGGAGGTGCAGGCGATGGATAGTCGGGCACGCCAAGCTATGGCGCGGCGGCCGGGCGACTATCTGACGGCGCTGGACCTGGACCAGTTTGTCACACCCGCGGCGGTCGGCGCTGGCCGACTCACGACGGGTGAGGGTGGCAGTCGCACGCAGCAGGACCAATTGTGCTTTCTGCACGCCCGACACAATGCCTGCTCCTGGCCCTGCAAGAACGGCCGCTATCACCTACCGTGCCGCTGGTGCCATTCATCAGAACATGCCACACAATTCCACGGACTGGCGGCGGCCGGTCGCGGCCGTGGGGCCCGGTGGGTCGGCGGAGTCGCAGCCGGCGGGGCGCGGTACAGTGGAGGCCCGGCGGCCCGGGGACTGGGACCCCGCTGAGCCGGCACGCAGTGATGCGAGACAAGCAGGTGCGGAGACGGGTCCGGCTGACACCGGCGTTCGTGTAAATAGACTCGAGTGTTTGCTCGCCGATTGTGACTCTATTAGCCTGGAGGACAAAGAGTTAGTGGTGCGGCGGTTTCGCGAAGGGGCCGATATCGGTTTCCGTGGTGCCGGGGGCGGACATCGAGTGGACAATAACAGGTCCGCCATTCTGCGCGTAGACGGTGTGTCCAAGGCCATTGATAAGGAGGTGAAGGCCGGTCATACCAAGGGGCCTTTTGACTTTCCGCCGCTGCCCGGGTTGGTGATAAACGCTCTCAGTGCCAGAGATAAACCTAATGGGGACGTCAGACTTATACTGGACTTGTCCCAGCCAGCTGGTGGTGCAGTGAATGATGGCATAGACCCTGACCAGTTCCGAGTGTTGTACACTTCAATTGATGAGGCCATACAGTTGATTTATGCGGTGGGCGGCGCTGGGGCGCTTCTCTTTAAAGCAGACGTGCAGAATGCTTTCAAACTCATACCGGTTCGGCCCGACCAGTGGCACCTTTTGGGTTTCTGCTGGTTGGGACAGTTTTACTATCAGGTTTGTCTGCCATTCGGTGGTCGCAGTAGTCCGAGGATTTTTAACGATTTTGCTGATTGTTTACAAGTGCTGTTTCAAGGTGGCACAGCGGGGGTGTTTGTTCGGCATTATTTGGATGATTTTTTCGGTGTGGGCCCTCCAGGCACAGATAGCGCAGCAGTCGTGTACGACCGACTAAAAGCGATATGTACGGAAGTGGGTGTTCCCCTGGCCGCGGGCAAATGTTTCCCTCCTTCTACGCGACTCGAGCTTCTGGGTGTTGTGTTGGACACTACGACAATGTCAGTGGCGCTACCTGATCAGAAGTTGGCCGACTTGCGCGAAACTTTGGGGTCAATGACCGGACGGAAAAAGTGCACGCAGAGGGACCTGCTCTCTCTGGTCGGGCGCCTGGTGCACGCCAGCAAGTGTGTGCCGCCGGGACGCGCGTTCACCCGGCGTTTGCTGGACGCGGCTCACTCCGTGCGTGGCCTGCATCGGAGGGTGCGGATTACTGCGGCGGTGCGTGCGGACATGCAGTGGTGGGCGACTTTTTTGCCCCTGTGGAACGGCACCTTCCCGTTGGTTCCGTCGGTCACGGAAACGGCCCCCGGCATCACTCTGTGCACAGATAGCTCTCGTTGGGGCATGGGGGCGTGGTTCGGCCGCGAGTGGTGGGCGATGGAGTGGCCGGCGGAAATCAAGGACGCGACAGCACCGTCCATGACTTGGCTGGAGCTAATATGGTTGGCTGTTTCGCATGGAGACCCTAGACTGGCTGTGCATCACAGACGTCATAGCATGCAGCGGGGTCACGCGGGGCACGCTGTCGTGTGTGCTAATGAGCCTGGTAGCGACAGGTGTCCCTTATCGGCCGTGACGTCATACCACGGCTGCGGGACGTTGAGGGCTGCCAGACTACCGTGAGTGAAGGCTGAACATGGCTGAATGTTGAGGGCTGGACACGGTCGTGCTACCGTGCCGGCCCATTGCGCTGCACGGCACCATGAGACAGCCGGCATACGTGGGTGTGTGATTTAATAGTTAAGGCGAGGTATAAAAAACGGAGAAAAGGTAAGTGTAAGTGTACAATTGTAAGTGATTCTTCAATCTTAACATTTATCCTACTTGAAGTTTGTTTCGATATGCATAAGAAGTTTCAGTAGCAAAACAGTGTACAGTGAGAGCCAAATAACCATGTAAAATAGGGACCTTGCGCCTGTCCTCACTAGCTAATCCGCATTATGAAGCAGGAAAACGGCTTCCAACAGCATAGACGCTTCGCCATGTAATAGTTGGTTTCCTAAAAGGCCAACACTTGTACGGTGCTGATTGGGCTGTAACGGGTGGAAAACATATGTTCGGTATTCGTTGTCCGGTGTTCCCGATGTTTTCTGACTGGCCAAGAAACCACCATGAACTGTCGCTTTAGTTGCCTTGGTTAGCAAAGATAAAGCCACCGGTTATGGTAAACATATTTAAAGTAGTTGGTACGAGACAGAAAGAAACCTATTGGGCGCTGAGGCAAACTTAGCAATCAAGATGCAGAGGGCGTTGCCAGTGCTCGCAACAGGCAGAAGTAGCGCTCACGGATCAGCAGTATCGCACAACTACACGAAATCAACTTGCAACGAAATGTTCCAGCTGTCACAATGGATTTACAGAAAAACGCATAGCCGATTTGGCCGTCCAAGCGGAACAGAATCCATTTTTCCGAACAGTGGACGTCGCTTGCTCGACGCCGTGCGCCATCTTGACATCATGTTCTAGCCGGACAATCTGCTGGTCATCGTTGCGCATGCTTGACGACCTTGCAGGAGCAGCACTATAGATGAGTATCAAGTGCTGGAGGCGGGTGGCCAGCACTGGAACCGAGCCAATCACCTAGCACTTCCCCGGGAGCCGCTGGGGCCTGTCAACGTGTGAGGCACTCCAGTGGCATATCGAAGTCATGTTTGGACACTGCATGGTTCAGTGACTAGGCCTGAATGCAGAGCTGAGTTGCTGCTGTCGTCCTGAGAGTGGCCGAAGCCCGAGTTGTCGCAGCAGCGACGGTGCCATGGGCGCCATGACACAGATTATGATAAACGGCTTTAAATCCTGGTAGCTGCATGCAGTTTATAACAACTGCATGTAATAGTCCCAGGCGAGTGGTTGTTCGATAAATGTGGGTGGTTTTCCCAGCTTCAATGGTACCTAAATGCGGCGTGACGTGATGAGTTTAGCAATCTAATAAGAGGGAAGTCATTGCTCATTGTTTTCACCATGATGACCCTTCAATCAATGTAAAAGAGCTGCACTTATTCAGTAGTCTAAGAGCACCTGTTCAGTAGTCTGAGAGAGTACCGAACAACAACTATGGATGTCTTCAGAACGATAAATAACTCCGAAGTCACGCTTGCTTGTAGACGCCACAATCTGCATGGCGCATGGCCGCATGCGCATTTGCTTCAGAATACTTCAACCGTCGTATCCTTTTGCAATCGCTTCTGGAATCCTGTTGATACCGTTCAAAATCAGGAAAACACTACAATCGAAGCTGTGCTGAAGTGACCCATGCAGAAGTGGATCCTAAGCATAACATCGTCACTGTGAAAAGCATAGCGTCACTGTCAAGAACATACTGCCGTCCCATCGCGCCCCCGACCCACCGCGGTGACCTGCGCCCCCGGTCGGCTGACGGACCGCCTGACGCCAGGAATGTTAACGACCCCATGGCGTGATCATCCGGGGACAGAACAGCGACCCGGGCAGATAGGTCGCGCCCTGCCGCCTCCGGCGACCCGCGGATCATGGGAGATCACGCGACGCACCCACATCGCCGGGCGGAGGAGCCGTTGGGTGATGGATGAAATGATCAACGTGGGCTCAACAGCGGCCCATGAAGATGCACCGAAAATAGGACGTAATCCGATTTGTTGCTGAAATATATGGACATTTCATATGAGAACGCAAGAAGTACTTACGATGGCAAATAAAAATGACATCACCAAGTATACATAAATAGAAAACAGCTACTTGTAGAATATCGCCACTTTGCATTTCTACCCGTATTTTTCCATCTTTGTTGTCCCTTGTCTTTCCTCCTACGCCCGCCATCCCATTTTCCTGGTTCGCCGGTGGCTGGTTTCAGTCACGACAACCACCCCCAACTGCACGGCAGCAGCCACCGCGTTACCAAAACTCCGCGTACCTCAAATGTTTCCAGCGATGACGTGATACATAGGACTGAGCCGCGCGTGAGAGAAGTTGAAAATTCTGCTAATCGCATGCAACACCACAGCGGCAAACAAAGTCATGTGCATTGAGCAGCTGCTGAAACGGAACGATCGCTTCCAAGCGTTCCAAGCCCTCAAAAGTCGATTCCCAGTCGCATTTTTCTCCCGCAACTGGCAACATCAATGTCTTTGAAACAACACCGTAACCCTACCATCTTTCGCTCGAACACCTCGCGACCAGACGAAAATCTCTTCGCGAGGTGAAATCCTCACTTATGCCAAAATCCGGCTCTGGCGGCACTCGGCGCAAGGCGCGCCCTGGAGCGGTGCGTCAACAGCCAGCGCCGCAGCTGGGGACGGGCCCCTCCGATCCCATCTGGTTGGGGACGCACCGGCTATCAGGTCTGACAGTCCTCACCACGCCAGACATAATCCGCTCCAATCTGGCCGTGACGTATGGATGCACATTGCACGACAGGATTTTTTTGGCGTTCGATAGAGTCGTGGACGTCGTCTGCAGTACGCTGCTGGTACGCTGCCGAGGCGCCTGCAGACTGACAGAAACGACGCGGCAATCGCCCGTCTCGCTGAACCGGGGAGAGAAGACAAAGAAAATCGCCGTGAGAGCGCTCGAGCGACGCTTTTTGTGACCCGTGCACGAGCCGTTCTGATAAGGATCGTGTGGCAAGTGCGAGACGTCAATCAAACGTCAGACGTAAAACTGTCATTTAAGGCGTTTTTTTCTACTTGTCAATGGTTGATAAATCCGTGCGTTAGACGTTAGTATTATCCAATACTTACTCTTTGTATGCTGCTGCGTAGGAGTTCATATCTAGCGGCATTTGTTGATGCTGCTGCTGCTGGTGTTGATGTTGTTGTTGCTGCTGCTGCATGTGTGAGTGATGCTGCTGCTGGGCGGGCAGGTGGCCAGTCGAGTAGCCGTCCGTCCGCCGCTCCAGGCCGCTCGACAGCCGGCCTCCCGACGACATGGCCGCCGGGTAGCCGCCGTAGGCCAGCGAGCTGCCGCTGCCCATCTGCGAGAGCTTGGCCAGCCCGCCGCCGGCCAGCTGTCCCAGCTTCAGACTGGGCGGCGTCTGCGGCGGCGTGTCAGTCTGCGGCTCGCTGTAGCCGGCGGCCGACAGGCCGGGCGGCGGCGGCGCCGCCATGCCGCCGTAGCCGCCCCCGCCCCCGCCCGAGGCCACGTAGCTGCCGCCGGCCGGGCTGTGGTGGTAGCCGGCCGCAGTGGACTGCGGCTGTGACTGTGACTGCGACTGGACGGCCTGAGCCTGCGACTGGGCCGCCTGCGCCTGTGAGTGACTCGGGTGCGAGTAACGTCCGAAGGGGGTGCCGCCGGGCCCGATGGTGGCCGGCAGCGGGAACGTGGTGGCCCCCTCAGTGGCCGCCGGCCAGCCGCCCGCCGGCGGCGGCGTCTTGCACTTGGCCGTGTCGGCCAGCGACCAGATCTTGGGCTTCTGCGGGTCGTTGCAGTCGTCCAGGGAGGCGGCGGCGGCGGCGGCGGCTGCCTTGTCCTTCCAGCTGTCGGTGGGCGAGAGCGTCTCCGATTTGACTTCTGCCCCGGTCAGCGGCGACATGGCGTCCGAGGTGTCGTTACCAAGCACAGAGTCTGGGGAAAGAAAGGGCTGTCAGTTGCTAGTTCAGTCAAGTGTGGGTAGAAACGGGTATCCCTGTCCCATTTTGCAAATCTTCTGTGAAAGAAAAGTTTTTTAGGTCGACTATTTATTCATGCTAGCTGTTGAAGTGGTAGTGCAGAATAAGCTTCTCATATCGCACATTGAACTCTCAAACAACAGCACTTTGCACATAGCGCATGCACAACGAACCAACTTGAAAACACGTTTTAGAGCAAGCACCAGTCGGCAGCTAGCTCGCACTTGGTGATGCTAAGAGGCATTAGCAAATGCTTCATGTAAGGGACAAAAACAGTTCTGCGAAAGTTTTGTGAAACTCAATTTCTAAGCCGGGCAACTATTTCATAGAACCTAGTAGGCACTTTATATGACTAAAGGATCCGTTCAATTCGGGGAATAAGTTTTTAGGTAAGCTTTTAAACTGGACAATAATGATCTTTGCAGCTGTTTTTGTTACCGATAACATCACTTTACATGGTGAGCCGCTTTGGCACGGTTCGTTCGTTCCTAACCATTTTTCACCTTATAGTGACTTAGATAGTTGCGGGAGTTATAGTTTTTACCACTTGGTTGTTAGTATTGCGAGCTCACCTTTCTCCCCATCGGTTTCCTCCTTGTCGGTCTTCTCCTTGTCCGCCGCGCTATCATCGGCCTCCTCATCTGACTCGGTCTTATTCTTGGGCTCCCAGGTCATCTTGTTCTCCTTCTTCAGCCTTCGTCGCGCGTTGGCGAACCACGTCGACACCTGGGTCAGCGTCATCTTGGTGATGATGGCCAGCATGATCTTCTCGCCTTTGGTCGGATAGGGGTTCTTCTTGTGCTCGTTGAGCCACGCCTTGAGGGTGCCGGTGGACTCTCGTGTGGCGTTCTTTCTCCGTGCAGCCAGATCGTACGGAGCTCCATACCTGAAGAAAACACAGAAACATGGAGGTTAGTGAGAAGCAAAACTCGGGATGCTGGTTTGACTTGATGTATACGGAACCAGACCATTTGCTGGGTGTACTTATCTGATTGAGATGCCTTGATCTGGAACAGAGCTGAACAGACCTGGAAGCTGGAACCCAACTGTGATTCTGCCACCCTCACTGTTCGACTATTGGGCGTCGTGTGGTGAGCACTCCGCTCCGCACCCCTGTGCTCCTGTCGCTACACCCGTGTCCAGCTAGCTGTCCAGCAACCTCTCGCTCCCGGCAGCCGGTGGCCAGCCGCGCTGGCAGCTCCCATCCTCCGGGGCGTAGATCAGCTGTCTGGGAGCCCGCTCGGCGTCCGGACGACCCCCGCCGTCCGTCACCTCTGCCTTATCTGTCCCCGACAGACTCCCGCTGGTTGGTTTATGCGCGTGCCGGACGGCGGCGACGTATCGCGCCGGATCAGTCTCAATTATAGCCCGTAAATCTGACCCGGGTCAACCCGCTGCCCGTCGCACCACGCAAGGAATCCTCCCCGGTCTGTGTGAAATCCTGGACTGTGTGTTTTAGGGTTGAAAGGGCGGAGGTTTCCTTCTAGGACGCTAGCCGTGGGAAAGCGAGACAATGTCTGATACCCGAGAGATCTCAATCCGCATAGGTTTCTCGGACGTGGTATTACTGTTGACAGCCTAAGCAGCTAGCGAAGGAGCAAGGTGCCAGCGGCACGTGCTTTAGGTCACCGCCTCGGATGAGTCCGGTTTTCTTGAGAGCATTATAGAGCTTACAGAGAACCAACACGTCACTTTAATGAGGGTTCAGTGGCTCCGTAAAAACGTAATAGGCTTATGGCATTTGCCATTAGTTCCAGCACCTTATGGGATTTGGCGCCGGTTTCAGACGTCGGCGATTTATCAGGATGTCACAGCCTTTCCAAATGAGCGGAGTTCGTTCACGGAGCTTGGTGAGTTAGCGACATCCGGTCAGCGTCTACATCAGTACAGCTGTCTGACCGCCAGACGGTTGGTGTCAGTCTGTGCGGATGTAAGTTCCGGATCGAAACTGGGAACTACTTCGTGATATGTGATTTCGTGATGTCCGATAGGTACAAGAATAAGATGGGAAACCTCTGGCTTGGCATAGTTCGATCCTCTGTAATGGATGAATCACAATGAGTGAGATGAGAGCTAATCTCGGGCAAGCTAGACGTCCGGTATCATCCATCGTGATACGTTGATCCAACTCTGAAAAAGACTATTATTCACGAACGGCGAAATGGCGAAAGCTCAGTAGCGGATGCACTCTCTATCCCCTATCTTCTATTCCCTATCCATGTAAAAGCAAAACAGAAACGTCGCCATAATCGGCAAGACAGACAGTAAAGCACCTTTAGGAGGGGAGCCAAATAAGAACCGGCCAGCTGATACAGCATGTGCGGCTCGTGCCAGCAACATTGTAATGTGATTTTGTGGTAGCATGTGGATCAACTGCAGATGTCCTCCAATAAGATAGCATCAGAAATATCACGGCAAACAAGTGATACCAGCTGGTCTGTGTCACAAACAGATTTCGAGACTAAATAGACTGGCCTCAAAATAGCAGAAGTGCTCCTTCTCACCATCTTGCAACACAGTAAAAATGTCTAATGTAGAGACAGCATATCACTGATAAAGTCGTTCACTTCATAGTTGCCATGGACGTCTGCCGCAGCCATAAATTTATGTCAGTTAACGTCCGTAATAAATGCAATTAGAGATGTCATTGTAAGGATGTGAGCTGATAACTCAGGACGTATCCATTAGCAAACAGCACCTGCCTATTCTGAAGCTCTTGTTCACCTGGCCAAGGTGAATCAGCTTTGTATAGTGGTGCAAAGATTGGGTAATTATTGACAAATGAGCACGTGGAATTGTTCATGAGCTGTTGATATGAGGAACGACCCCGGCCTATCTCCTGTATGCAGAACCTGTATACAGGTTCTGCATATACTGCAATAGACGTATACTGCAATAGACGTTTCAGCTTTTGGCTAAAAAATCTGCAGAGCTAACCAGTAACAAACTGAAGATAGAACCACTTCTGGGTCGCTTGTGATTAGTCAATTCGAAACAATTAGAGGAAATAAACGATTCTCAAAATGATAATTGATCGGTTCTTTCGTGATATATTTGTTTGAAGTGATACCCATTGCAACATGCAAACCGCACACGTTACATATCGAACAGTAGTATCATTTAGCCGGACACGATCTGGATTTTATTGGTTCTATTAGGTCGCCCGTTGGCGCCTGTCTGTCGGCTGTTGGCTGGGAAAAACTGCTCCGGCCGGTCCATTGAGACGGGCCAGCGCCGGTAAAAACTGGGCCTTCAGGACCGGACCCGGGTGGCCGCCGCGTCTTCAATTCGGTTGTGATGCCAGGGGACTGGAGTATTCTTTGGTTAGACTGCAGTCGGGGGGCTGCAGCTGTCTCCGGTATCTTGGTACGGAGGTCTGAAAGCATCTTTACCGCGTAGTCTATGTAGAACGGGAGAGTGGGCCTGACCTCGGCTCGTGCCACAGGGCTAGGCTAGGCATCGACTTCAGTCCCCAAAAATATCGTGAACAACTTGTTTTGCATTCTTTGGTTGCCGGGTTTGTCAATAATTTATAAACGTTTTACAAATGTGCAGATTGTTATTAACATTGTTACATGAAGCCGAGCATATTTCATAATAAATGTTGCGTAATAATCATTAATGACACGAGTGGAAGTGTTGTGTGCTATCACTAAAACTTCACAAGACGACATCGACATACCGCCTGCAAATATGCAATAGGCTAGCCATTCATTCATTCTTTCCGCTCGTCGAGGGCCTGCAGCGAAAACTCCGCACCACACAGTCGGTATGCATGCTTGGAGGCCCCTACTCTGAATAAATCACTCTCACGTCAATTAATTTAGCCGCACCAACACGCCGGCCGGCCGCCTTTTCTGTGCCGTTTTCGTGTACAATGCGTGTCTCTAATTGTCAGCGGGTTCGGGGGCCGTGTTGAACTAGGTGCGTGCACGGAATGCCATTAAAGCCTTTCCGGTCACGGGCCGACAGGTGACGTATCCGTCAAATGGACAGCGAGTCAGAGGCGGGTGCAGGAGAGGAAGATGGAGGGCGATCGGCTAGGATGTCATCGCATAGGTGAGTCTTTATGGGTTTTTGAAATCTATTTTCAGCATGAGAAGGAATCTCATCCTGTGGGTGTGCCGGAGTTCGCATGCCTTTCATTCCTTTGCTTCGCTTCTGATAATGACCCCTCCACTCCCTCCTAGGTGCGCTCATTGCTATCGGCCGGCGCCTAAAAGCCCGAGCAACTCTGCAAACACAGCAATGACACGCTACGTGGCGCCGGTGCTCCAAACAACTCTATCTAATAAACGGACGGCCGGGCTAATTTGTCGGTGCCGGCCGCCACTGCAGGCGCGGCAATCAGGCAGCCGTTAAAGCGACCATAAAACATCACCGCCACAGTTTTGACGTAATTACGCGTCATTAAATGCAGTGCTACGCCGGCTGACGGGCGGCCATCATCGTCTAGAGAGGGAGGGAGGGCAGGGGAGGGTTTCGGGAAGGAGGCCAGTGCAGCGATAGGATGTGACGTCACTAAGGTGCTCCAGAGGTCCCGTGGTCGTTTGAGATACTCAATGAACTTCGAGACGAATTTTGTAAAGGGCTTCATCTTCTGCTGACACAAATATTTGCATGAATTTAAATTGTAGGATATCAATAAAAATCATTTTCCCGTTGCTTTTTATGTTTAGGAGCGCCTCCACTCATGCACGGAACGTCTCGTGCTATTAAAAAAAAACTTAAGTGGTTTTGAGGCAGCTTGATTGCATAGCATTTACCAACTCATTCCACCTAGAGGAACATACAATTGTTGCGTGCTGGAATCCTGAGCTTAACTGGCCAAAATATCTAAAACAAATGAAATCCACGCTCAGAAATAACTTGTTTTGCAGAGCCCTGTTACCAAGCAACATAAAGACAGGCAAGGGACATTGTGTGACTAATAGGGCTTTAAGTGAGTACGCCTTATCAGTTTTAGGTACATGCCTGAAAGAATAAAACTACCTAACATTTACGAACTCACTGTTCATTTGTGCATAGCCAGGTGAGCTATGAATGAAATGGAATGAAATGGCAATGAAATGGAAGCTCATCACCAACCATTCAGCCGTATCAGCGACAAAATCCCGTAGCTCGTCCTGTCTGAATGACAACAAGCATGTGCCCACCTGCCTAGTACCTACACCTGTCCTTTCAACTCCATTTCCAATCAACCCCCGCCATTCACCCCTTGCTGTGATTCTCCCCGATGTTGCGCAGTGCGCGTCCATCCCCCGATGCATCTTCTGCTCCTCGACCGGCGTCTTACCGGTCCATTCACCTCTCGCCGGTCAGGGCTCGTCCAATCGTGTCGGCGTGCGCCCGGGCCCGGTCGGCCGTCTCTCATGCTAGCCGGCCGTTTGCATGCTACCCGCCAATTACGCACCATTTGGTAGACATCGCTCAACGGCCATTGCCGGCCGGCGAACAAAACGGGCCGGCGAGCCGCGCCGGCCGGTCGGCAGCCATAGCTGTTTGGCCCCCGGGTAAGGGACCGGAGGGCACCCCCAGGCGACCCCCAGGCGGCAGAGGGGTGGGCCTGGGGCTTCGGGAGATGCGTATTGGGGATGGGATTGGAGAAGGGATGGAAGGGAAGAGCAATGTTGAACTCAATGAAAGTGTGTTTGATGCACGTTAGATGACACACTGACACACTAAGGTGTGCCTGTCATACATGCTTATGCAATGGTTTGGTAGCACTTCTCGCCAGCCATAACAATAATTTCCATAATTTTGCTGACAAGAAAGTTTCATAAAATTATAAGTTTTTTTTCCAGATTATGGTAAATACTGCTCAGAGGGAATGGTACAGCGTTGGATGTTGGGCTACCTGCACCCTGTGGTCTCTTGATGGAGCTCTGCTCCATCAACATTGAAAGCTCGTGATGTCCCGGCGTGACGGATAGATTGTTGCATGGCGCCGAGCAGATATTATTTGTTCTGTATTCCAATGGCTGTTTTTGCATGAGATAGGGACCAAACAAATTCCGAGTGTTTAGCATTCGACAGGGCTTGCATGTTGCCAAAATATGAGAGCTACAGCCTCAACATTGTGTGGGGTGCGGGTGCCGGTCTGGTAATTTTCGTTGTATTCACTAGTTATTATAACCGTAGGTTGTTTAAAATAGGCAAACACCACTCGGTAGATATTTGTTCCATTTATTCGGGTTCTCGATAAGGGATAATATATCATGTCATCTGTTCACTCTTTTGCAATGATGCCATTTCACTGGACTAATTAAGGATCCCGGACTGAATGGCCGATAAGACAGCATGTCGCCGCCACCTTTTTGTGTGATTCTCGAGTGGAGACATGCTGGCATGACTGGAAGGGAAGCCCTGTCCTACCCTTCCCCAGGCCGCCTACAAATCGGATCCAGGAGACCCACTATGGCTTCTGTGGGGATGCCTGTCCAAATGGTTCGCCACGGTCCCGCCGGAGTTGAGGGCACGCAACACTAGTCGGGTGACACCCAGTGGTGTTGCCAGGGTTATTGGAATTACATATGTGAATGTCCACTGGATGAGCGGCAACAAACAAAAGAGGATATTGGTATTATGATTATTATCGTATTTATTTGTATCTTTTTTTGTGAGCATCGCAATAATTGGGAAACATGTTCATGAGACGGCGCTTTCTTAACTTTCAATGCCATGAAGCAAACGCTTTCTGCATCCTCAGCTTGACTTGTCAATCATACACGGCATGATGCCGAGACCATTTTGGCCGGGATAGCTGATGGTCGGTCGTTGCCATTTTTCCCAGCACACCTGCCGGAAGCTGCGGATGGATGGACACATCTTCACAGACGAGAATAACTGACTGGGTCTTAGCTTCTCGGCGCCGGTCGGGCTTAGTGCAGTCAGCCGCACGGCCGCCGCCCAGGGACTGGCGCCCTACGTCTATCACTTGCCGCTTAGCGACTGTCCCCATGGTTTTCCCATTGGCAGACCGTCTGCCCCGGCCGAGCGCCGTAGCCCGTAAACCTCCCACCACCCATCCTCAGCATTGTCCGCTGCCTACCTTTTGCTATCCACCGCCTGTCTTTCCGTCCGTGATCCAGTGCCCACCGCCCACCGTTCGCCACCCGCCCTATTCGCCGCCCGCCAGCCGCCTGCCGCCCATCCGCCGCCCATCCGTGGTCCATCGCCCGCCGCCCGTCGCCCGTCGCCCATCGCCCGCCTACCGACCGCTGTCAATCGCCTGACCGCCAGCGAACAAGAGGATCTTACCACGATTTCTTCCTCTCATCTCCGAAATCCCGGAGCCCTCCTGTCGGCGAGTGCTGTGTGATCCGCCGTCTCCCCGGCACCGCCGCCGCCGCCCTCGAGGAACCGGGTGGAGCGGCAGAACCGCCACGCCTTCGCCGGTTCTGGGTGACTGCCCTTCAATGGATCAGGTCGGACGGGCCACCGCTAGTAGACGAACGCTGGCGCCGCGTTTTTTAGAGGGCATCCAGCGTACAGACCGCGACAGAAAGGGACAGCCGGTTTGGGGAGAATGCCAGGTCAGGATTATAATAATGTCATAATGGACCAGGCATGTGAGAGGTTAATGAGAAGATGAGAAATGGGTACAGATTACGCTTCATGGGGATGACGCGGAATGACGACTTGACTAGATGACGGTTGGGTGACGACTGAATGATAGCTGGCAGATGATGCTCTGAAGGAGAACATCACATAATCACCTTGTGACTGCAATCATACTTGCCAAAAATATAAATTAAGAGGAACGTTTTCTGTATTTCAAGATAAATACCCCAAGCAAGTGTCCCCTACTTACTACTACACCGCTTAGGACCGCATCAGTACTTCAAATGCATGTTTATGTAAACTTATTTCACCCAAGTATCGTCAGACCTCCAAAAGCACACCTGCACTGCAGCCTGTCTTGTTCTCCCTGTCAAGCCCGAGTCGAACGCATACGTATCGACACGGGCGACTGTTTGTTCTAACGGGCGCCAACCGACGACAGCAAACACTTGCCGAGCAGTGCGGGAAGGGGTGGGGTGCAGGGGACCGGTGGGGATTCATTAGCCCCGCCTCCTGTCTCGGCAGAGACAGTCGGCGCAGAATTAATTAACGGCCAGCGCGAGACGCCTCCCGTGGAGAGAGGGAGAGAGCGCAGTAGCGAATGGAGGGAGAGAAGAGGGGCGTTATATTTAATCTAGTCTGATAAAACTACGGTGCCAATTATGACGCTGCTTATCTGGCTAATTTCAGTTTTAGGCTTTACGAACTTGCCTGTCTACCAACAAACTATATCCTTTATTCTAATAGCTAAAAATTTATTTATAATACCCAATTATTAATTAGTCATTACATATCGCTTTCCAAAATATTTTCGAACAATGCATCACTGTCAAAATCAAAGTGATAATAAAGGAAATATCAAACACAAATAGGTGATACTTAGGAAAATGCTTGCAAAAATTATGAAGTTGTTCCGGGCGCACGCATCAATGAATGTTTGCCTTATATAACTGTCGCTCATACTTTAAGTTTACATACACAACACACAACATACATACTCAACATACTTTAGAGTTTACCCAGCCAGCCCTTCTCCACGCCCCCACCCTTAGTGCCCGCTCGGCGCGCCAGTTTACCATTGCCCGCGCGGTGTCGGTCGCAGCGCCCCAGCCGCCCAGCCGTGCCCTCATTTGCAATGCAAATTTGTCATTGTTGCAATGGTCGTGGGGTGGCGTCTTGATGACGCACTAAATTAGATTTACGGTGTCCGGAGGCGCGCGGCGGTGGTGGCGGTGGGGAGGTGGTGGTAGGCAGCGTGTGGCGGCGGTAGCGGTGGTTTTGGGTGGTGGTGGGTGGTGGGATCGGTATTGGTGTGTGGTATCGGTGGTGGGTGGAGGTGGTATAGTGGTGGGGTACGGCATCGGTGATGGCATCGCTTATATGGGCGTTGTTGGGTGGTGGCGTTTCGCGGTGGGCGGTGGCGTTTCGCGGTGGCGGACGATTGAAGGCGGTGGTGCTTGGTGAGACTAGCCCAACTTTCCCATTCAGCACAGGAAGGAAACCGGCGGCTGTTTCCGCTGCTGCTGTCACCATTCAAATACCAATCCTTATTTAGTCGTGCGCTGTTCATTTGACCTCATGACACCAAGCAGTAGTCTGCAGTTACTGCCGTCACTAGACACTATAAAGCAGAACAACGAGCGATTGCACACGAGCCAAAGTGCCCCCGAACTAGGTGGCCAACTGTTACTGTCGTCATTGAGGAGAAACGTGGATCACGAGACGAGGCTGATGGACTGGGGAAGGCATGGTGGATGCCAGCTGAAGAGCCTGGTAACTACTGTGTGGTTCCTGTCCTCTGCTCAGCTGACCCACCACTGAATTTATTCTGTATGTTCCAACGCGTTGTTTCGAACCACACTCGGTCAGAAAGTCGGTCCGATAGCTCTGTCCGTAGGTCCAGTGCGGCCCTTTCAGGGTGATCCATTGCACTGTCCGGTGTGCCGGTTGTACCACAGCCGCACACATGTGTATTGGGCCTTTCAGCGTGAATTATTCACTGTCGCAGGCCACTCAGCAAAATGCAGTAATTGCCTCCCGATCCATTAGTGAATAAATTATTGCAATTAGCGTCGCCGCGAGGAGGCTCGGTTTCGGTTGGTGCCACCAAAGTTGGTAACATTGCTGTCACCGCAGCTGGTAACACCGATGTCACCAAGGCTGGTGGTCACGGCGAGTGAGTAGTGTTTCCGTTGCTTGTAAGTTTGGTGAAAGACGCAAACAACCTTGATGACCGTGCTGATGTTTACGAGGGAGAAAGAATAAGTTGCAGAAAAAGCGTATGCGTGTATGATGACACTGATTAGTTACATTCACATGAGCGTTCGCGTTTGGTATGCGAATGACATGTAAAATAAACTGGGTGCCTTCTGGCTATGGCCCATGCATCCCGTTGAAACTCACCCATATAGTGAGGGGTCGTAAGGGCTATATCCGTATCCAGCTGTGCTGCCCAGGCCGCCGTAAACGCCCATGTCGGTCCCGGGCGTGTCCTTCAGACCGTACGGGCTGCTCTGAAAATAGAAAAGGGAGGTCAGCTTAAGCTAGCAGATTAATTCATTTCTGTTACAGTTTTTGGTGCTGGTTGTGGTGGTTGCCTAGGCGTTTTTTTTTTCTTTCGTGTACACAGATATATGCGCAGACATATCTGATTTTTGTCCCATTTTTGGAATGACACTATCTTTGCTTCGAGAAGTGTGAAAAATGTTATCTTTATAAGCTGTCTCCCTAAGTCTGCGGGTTGCACGGTCGCAGCCCAGATTAATGTCATACAGTGTCCATTTTTACCTCCCACCATGCATTTGACTGCTGTTTAGCAGCAGGGGGCAGGAAATCCAGCGGTTATCTTTCCTCGGTGTGTTGTTTCCCACTACCGTGCATGCCACTGTATGGGTGCATATTCACAGCCAGTGACATTCAGAGGCGTTATTTTCCTTTTGCGTCTCCTGCTTTTCATGTCTTTGTATAGCGACGCATAAACAATGCAATTTGGCTATTCATTCCATTCATCCGATACTTGCTTTTTAAACAAAATATGACAGTACGAAACAGACAAGGAGCTACAAAAACATTTTTGCCGTTTATTTCCACTCAGTTAGGCAGCTATGTTTGAGCCACAGCACTTCAGCCAGCTCAGACAAGACTGCACCCGACACAAGGTCAATTTGCGCCGCCATTAATCACCCATTCATCACTCTCCCCTCTCACTCCCCTCCCCTCTACCTCGAGTTACGTGACCGCGTCCGTGTCGAGTTCGGGTCAGGGGTCACGTGCTCCGTCGGCACGCTGTTGGCGCAGCAGCGCCCAACAGACAGTTGTGGCGCAACAGAGACTAATGGCTGGTGGTACGTGCCGATGTGACCTCAGCAACGAGGCAGGCAGCGCGTCTGACAAATGACTCATGACATGGAGACAGGCGCGCGGTGTATTGTGACTGCGTGCGCACGTGAAATATGACGCATGAATGGTACCCAATATGATACTCGCGTGGAAGCAATTGTGTTTTTAAATGAAATATGACGTGAGGCTATCTTTATGTGCCTACCGATCGTTCTTACTTTTGTGGATGCGTTGCTTGCATTACGATCACCTAAACCCCAAACGCAATTTCAAGCTAGCAACGTCTCACTCTCCCTTTTCCATCACTCCAATCACGCAGATGAGCGCGCCCTACGGGGGCCGCGGGGGGCGCAACCATCCGCCTAAACGGAATCACTTATCTGCAACAAAAGTAGCCCCATCTGCGAGCGAACTGTTTGTGTTCCAGGTTTCGGCAGGGGCGGCGATAATTCATTCCGACTGCGAGCGAGGGGCGGACAGGCTGGGCGAGGGGAGCGGCCGCTGCTGGCAGCCAGCCGGGGAGGCGCCGGGCGCGAGTGAGGACGCCAGCGAGAGGTTGTGTCCGCCGCCAACTCTGTCTAGTGTCTATGCTGGCTACGCAGTGTCTATGCAGACTAGGACCCGACTCTGTCCAGCAGAGGCCGGGGCCGGGGTCGAGCGGTCTAGCCTGCCGACCAGCTGGCTCAGAGGTCTGGCCCGCGTCGGAGAGTTCGCGCCGATCACATTCGACGGTAGAAGAGGAAGCGGAGAGTAAAAACGGCGATGGAGTGAGCTCAGGAAAGATGGGCGGTGACGGCTAAAGCCCTCTCGCCGCGGATCGGGACGATGGAATCGCGTAAAAAGAACCGACCCAAGTGGACGGCCGGGAGAAGCTTTGAAGTGGAAGCCGCTTGCGTGCGGATTCTCAGATTGATTTAAGTTGAAAATGCAAAGCTCTCGTAGATGTTTGTTCGGGTGAATTTCACCCTCATTCGAAATGTATGGCCGGTGGAGAGTGGAGACGATAACTACTCATAATTATTTTGTTGATTGCATAAAAATGCATCAACCGCTGCATGGCGTTGTAGAAAAGGACTACCACCTATCCCAAAGGACTACCTCAAAGCGTAGTCACGTGGGCCAGCGTCGAAGGACTCCCGCGGACTCCACGAGTCCACGTAGGTGCACCGCCCGGGGGCAGCGCTCCTCACGACTAATGGAAAAGGCGTGTTCCGAGCGCGGTGTCAAGGAAGCCACCCGACGGGCCATCCGTCGGCCGACGGCGGCAATAATTATCAGATCGACTGATGATACGGACCCCACCGAACGGGGACGCTCACCGGCGCGCCGGGGAGGGGAGGGGTGCCGCCGAGCCTGATCAGACCCGGTGGGACGCGTGGGCTCCGGGTGCATCAGCACTTCCTCAGACCCGCGGCGGACAAAGCCCAGCTGGGCTGTGCGCTGGCTGGTTGATGAGAAAGGATGAATGCAGTGCTGCCAAAGCTGAAGATGAGTGTACAGAACTATCAGATCGTGATTGTCAATGAGTCGGCGACAAGACAATTATCCGTCCTCAGCACTAAGCTGCGACATTTCAGTTCTACATCGCTGGCCTTAGAAAACGTCCCCTCTCCTGTCCCGTCGATATCTCTTAAAGTATTACAGATACCTATCTTCAGTCTGTACCAAACATTCAGGACCCCTCCGGACATGAATTTTACACCTTGAGGTCAAATATTTCATCAGAGGCTACGGTAGTTTGGCCACAAGTAACGTCAGGGTGACGTTATGTTCTGACGTTATATTCTGTAATTATCGATCCCCCAAAAAGGCGTTGCGAGAAGACGTGTTACGCATACGGTTTTGAAGAAAGATAAAAAGGTATCGCAGAAAAAGGAGTAATTCAGAGCTACAAAATTCCTATCTTGGATTTTTGATATCTATATTTTTACCCCAAAAAATGGAAAAATATCCTAAAAGTTTAAAAAATCCAAACTTTGAGAACAAAGGAATGTACCTATATGTTATAGAACGTAAGGTCATCAATCGACATACCAAAGTTGAGATAGCTTCATTTTTGGGAGAGTTGTGGCAAAAACTACTCAAAATTGATGTCAAATTTTCAAAGTCAGTTTTAGCCGTTGTATGTAGATCACGAGTAAAACTAACCCAAACTGGCACCAATGGTCGCCTAATCCACGTAATTGAATTTTAAATTGTAACTATTGACAATTAAGAAACTATCAAACGAACCTCGTATAAATGGGTTCATATTGTGACCCTTAATGGCCTGACCTCTGTGACCTGACCTGGTATCAGTGACCTCATGTAGCAAAATATGTATTAGACGAACAATGCTGTATCGGTGGTTTTCGATAACGCGTCTTTTACTCGATTAACACATTTCTTAGAAGGCCTATAAACGGTTCAAAATGTGACCTTTGAACCCAACCTGTGACGTCATATGTTGGCACTAGGTCAGTGAAACTAGGTCACATGGTGTTCGTTCCTCGGTGGGGATATCGAGCGCCGTTTGAGTTTTGAAAATCAGTCGGTACTTTTCCGAGATTTTTTTTTGGGGGGGGGGGCGAAACGCCACCCTCAACGGGTGACAGGATCCGGGAATGGCACTATAGGGTGCTGACTGCGGGTTAAATGTTGTTTTACTCTTCAGACAAACAGTGCTTATAATTGCTTATTGCAAAAGGAATGGTCTCTGATCTTATCATCGTACGCATTGGAATGTGGGGAATTCGGGAAGCGAACTCCATGCACTAAATATACGCTTATCAAGCGAATCAAATTAAATCTAGCGTAGCATAAGCTCGTGTCGTGACTGGTAAGCTTGACTATTACATGAGCTCCTATATTGCGGTTGCAAACCCTTAGAAGTGGCGAATTCTACCAGGACATAACCTTACTGTGTAATTTGTAATTTGTTGCACAATCTGATAAAATTCCGCTGGTCCACACTCCAATGTTTAAAGCAAAATTATTTTCGACAAAGTTCTTGTGCCTGTTGCAGTACTTTCATGAACCAAATGTTCTTGGAAATTAATTTGGTGACATGCAAGCTGATTAAACGCATCAGCTTGCATCAGGTTCTTCTGACAAGGGCTGAGGAGGGTACTACACCTGAAACCTAAAACTTTGGTAAATTCATGTTTAAGATTTGGAGTAAACCGGTGTCAAAGCCATTATGACCATTTCAAACTTGAAATAGCAAGTGTGAAATAATTAATACTATAGAATTACTGCATTCCAAATGCCGGCCTCGTTAATAATCAATTAGCAGTTGCGTAACAAGTCGCACGGGTTTGTCATAACTAGTCACACAGTAGATACTCACGAGTAGAGTTGCAAAATTTCCCCCAAAGGCTGCTACCGGCACCGCCCCGCCCCACAAAAATTTTCTGGGATACCGGCATGCTACCACGACCCAAGCAAAAACACCACCAAATTACCGGCATACTAAAAAAAACCTGCAATGTTGATTCTAGCTTACCCCTACAAGAGATGCCACACTTTGGCAATTTCAGTACCCATCCCAGTTCCCACCCAGCAGCCACCCAATGTCCAACCTAACTACGAACAGGATGATTTTGGCTCAGGTGGCCCCACAAATACCCACAATTTTGAAACTCAGTTCCAGTCTATACCTGTTAAAATATCACGTGTAATCAAAGAGGTATTGCCTACAAAAAGCAGTAAGAAAAAAGCATCAAAAAAGCAATGACAAAAATAACTTAAATTACTGAATTGTTTCTGAAGACTGGACAGTTCAAGTTAGCAGTAATCACATTAACATTTCAGAGGTGTTCTACTATTCCACATTCTCCTAAAATGTTGCAGGAACCCACCAACAAAAATCAAATTTTGAAATCTAGATGGCCACAACATAAAAAGTACCTACAGATTCGGCCATGTGCCTGAGGAAGCGAGATCAACACCTTTTTTTCCTTTTCGCCATGGCTTGCTGGCTCATGAATAAGATACGAATCATTTGAAAAATGTGAAAAACTCACTTGTCCTGAGAACAGTCACCAAATAATATGCATAAAAACGATATAATACCCGCTTTCTCGAAGAATCTTCCTCTCCAAACACAAGGTTATCAACTATCGAAGATTTCGAAACAGATGCGCCATAATAACAGACTTTTAACCAGCTGATTAAATTGCTGCAAAAAAAAAAGTTTCTGAACTGAAGAAAACTGTCTCATAAATGATTTGTTGATGTAAATGATCCAAAACGATATTGAATTCTGATGTAATCAACATTGTGAGTTTAGTTCACTACAAGAAAATGCATTCCCTTTCAGGAATTAAACCAAAAAGGCATACGAATAAATATTACGTCATCATCTTACATCCTTCCATCAGGGGAGAGAAGATCTAAAAAGTCAATCCTTGGTTCCCCTGTTATGCGCCACTTTGTTTATTTTGTATGCATATTGTGTTTTCTTGTAAAGATGAGACAAAATGCCAGTTTATTTGATTTTCATTTCATTTTTGGGACCAAAGTCAGGCTCAGGGCTACCTAATACCTGCCTTTTCAGCTGGATTTTCAGTGTCAAATACTTTGTAGAGTATCTCAGACCACATCTCAGGACTCAAGGCCAGTTTCCAAACAATGTGTTTTGTGGTGTTTTGATTCTGCCTTTTCCTCTAGGGAACGTTGTCATGAACATTTATTTATTTTGTTGTATTTTACCTATTACATACCATTAGACTTACTGATTGATCGAGCTTTTGCAGCATGAATAAGTATTCTTCCATTTATTGACCACAGTAGGTTCTTGACAATCCTAATTATAACGAAACCTGTGAATCGCTGAGGTCCATGTGTTATCCCTACCCTTAGCAATGTAACTTCTACCACAAAATGTATTTTGCAGTGGCTAATATTGCTGTTATTATAATTTGATAGCCTCTTAGTGCCCAAAGTTTAAACCATATGCTAAAATTTTCTATTTTTGAGCAAAATCAAAAATACCGGCATGCTACCGGCAAGACATGCCAGATACCACGAAAAAACCTGCGGTAGTGAAAATTTACCGGCATGCCGGTAGTGCGGTAGGGAAACTTTGCAACTCTACTCACGAGGGATCCAAAGTAGGAGCTGTCGACGCCGATGCTGGGGTAGGGTCCCTGGTCACTGGCCGGGTACCCCGCCGCCGCCGCCCCGTACAAGGACGACCCGGTGCTGAGGCGGGGGTACGAATTGAGCGCCGCCAACCGGCTCGACTCGTACTGACACGAGCAGACGGGCTGACCGGTCACAGGGTCGGCCACCAGCCGGCCCGTCTCGCAGCAGCCCGAGCCGGAGCCGCCGCCGCCGCCGGCCACCGTGGCCGTAGGCTGGCTGCCCGGCATCAGTAGCTGTGGGGGACGCAAAGGGCGGGTCAGAGGGGTACACGAAGGGTAGATCAGAGGGACGAAGAGGTGATCACTGATCAATGATCATAGACCATATGCCTCCAGGAGAGTCCAGGAGTAAAATGTGACAAGGGTCAAAGCCAGAGGTCACAAGGGTCACCAGGTTTCAAGGTCATTGACTGCAAATGTCGCGAAGGTCCAAGTCGTCACAGGTCACGCATGTAATTAGTTGAAATGTTACAAAGGTCACGGGCCATTTTTGGCACGTGTCGGGGCCATAAAAGAGTCACAGGTGTTACGCACAGGGGGAGGCACTCGCCTTGGCCGTATATGGGCCAGAATGTCTAACGATTTCCGCCATGTTGTGTATACGGTGTATACCAAAGTCTTGAAAAGTTGATCACTGCAATCAAACTGCAAGCATGAAGCAGCAGCACTTTTGAGTAGTGTACCTCTCACTTAACTGCACCTCTGCTACCGTACATGCAATTTATATTTCTGGTATACACAACATGGCGGAAATCGATAGACAAAAACAAGTCACCAATGCTCCTTCCAGTATATATTAGAGTTCAGTGGTTACGCATCACTTTACATGAAAACCTAAAGAAACAGACCGGGATTATAGTCAGCCTTGGACGTTACAGTTAAAGTTGAATAGCTGAAATAACCTTGACGCGTGTCACTGAGTAGCTGTTAATTGTTATGTGTGTGCTCAACAACTATTCCAGTAACGGGCACAATCAGTGTCATTTATCTATTTTAGTCGAATGACAGCGGACAACAGTGGAGCAAGGGTGCTGTGAAATGCCAGCTTTATTCCGCATACTCCTTATTCAGTCCATACAATCACCAGTCTCCCATATGTAGCGTATGCTCCAAATGGTTGTCTCGTGCAGTGACACGACCACCCGTATGCAGATGACCCAAAGGTCAGGCCACCGTCTGTGCCGAGTGCTGGCGCCACCGGGGGGGGGGAGGGGGTGACGCCGATCAGGCGGCAGTCCGAGCCACGTGTGCTCGTTGCAAATGCTGACCCGATTGGAGTTGTAAATGAGATGCAGCTTCCCCGCGAGTGCATAGGGATAGTAATAGGCGGCGGGAGGCTGGGGGAGGGCCGGGGAGGGACTGGGAGAAGGACAGGGAACAGCTGTGGTGAGGTAAAGAGTCCGGGGAGGGCACAGTGGGAGTGTGGGGCGAAGTTTGGCTACGGATGCGTACCAATAGACAGCGAGTTTGCAGGAGGAAGGCCGACGGATCACTGCGTTGACCCTGCGATGGGAGGAAGGGTGACAGATTTGAACCTGTGTGGGAATGTCGGGAACTGTATGAAGGAGGGAACGAGACTTGACTTGCTTGCTAGAGTCTTACCAGGCTCCCTAAAAGGACAGTGTATTAGTGAGTTGAGGTGTGCATAAAGCATATGACGACGCTGAATTGTTACCGCCATGACGGTCCGACAAAAAAAAAAACTATCGATTTGAGCCTACCAGTCACAGCGTAATGATACATATGTGCTACGATCGTTGTTATTTACGGGGACAACTGTTCGCCAATGTATCTCAGCTCTGAGCTCTAGCGGACCAGCTGTTTTATGAGTCTCTCGGCCTTCCCATTTGTTACTGCATGGGTGCGTGTGTGGGTGGGTGGGGGGGGGGGGGGCGGGGAAGGGGAGAGTTAATAGGTAAAAATGTACCGCCACAGCAGCCTTTCGGATGTGGCGGCCAGCGGCGGACCAGTCGGAAGGCCCACATCTTCGTAACACCGTCATCCATCCTAACCCTCATTCCTCAGCAGTCCCCCACCCCCACCCCCCCCCCACCCCCAACCCCGATATAGATATGACGCCTGGCGGCTTGCCTCATTCTTGCTGATTAAATAATACCTTTTACTTATTACTGTGCTTATGTAGGGATATCTGTGTACTAGATGAATGCATAGCAAATAATACTGTAGATTGCACGAAGTAGCGATAATGGTCAACAGCTGCGACCTGGCATCGTAATTCCGGACAGCGAGACTGTCCGGTAGGAAAGTGAAGGCATCGCTTTCCCAAAGGCCAATTCAGACAATGGCAAGTGCAGACGTTCTAGGCTGAAGGGAACGTAAACAAAGCTTCAGATTCTGAGTAATAGCCTAGTGCGGCTTCTTATAAACGGGAGTGGCTACTGGTTGTCCCAAGTATGGGGAAATATCACTCGTTGCACTTCTGAAGGACCTTATTCCGTTCTCGGCAGTCACGCGGAGACAGCGGTAGAAGCTATGAGCTAGTGTGTCATGTAAAAATAATTGCATTTGATGGATTTAGGACATTGTGGTCTTCTAAATTTACTGCGATCAATGACAAAGCTTTCCAATATGTCTGTCATCACAACTAGCCTAGAGCGGTGACCTTAGACCTTTACAGGGGGGGGGGGGGGGGCTGTGACTTTCCATGATCCTTTCGCTCGCCAAGAAGCGAAAGGATCCATTTAGCCGTGACCATTTAGTAACCCATTGACATGCGAAGCATTGACCACACCGCTCACATCCAGCAGTTATGTAATGTGTTATCAATCACAAATATTTCTTCAAAGTCAGCATGTAGGTAGTGCAAGTTATTACGGCTGAAATTGTGCAAAACGGCTGCAGGTGTGCGTTAGAACGTTACTTTCGAATCAGTTCCATCACTTACCTGCGACGCGGCAGTAGCGTACGGATACCCAAACTGCGCATAGCTTGCCATGGTGGCCAGACTGAGCTCCAGGTCAGGTCAGGTTAGATCACGATAGTCCAGGGTCACGAATCTCTCCCTCGTGCGGCACAGTGCGCAGCGACGGCGGCCGGTCGCCGGGTCGCTCGCCCTCTCTCGCTCTCCCACAGCACGCGGCTCGCCCGCTCCGCGCAGCACGGCAACTGGCGCCCGCCGGCCGGCCGGGCGGCGAGCGGCGCCGGGGGCGGAGCCTCGCGCCGCGCCAGCCAATCGGCGGCCGTTCCCAGGCCGGGTCCCGCCCACCGCCATTGTGGCCGGGGCTGGAATTAGTCTGAACATTTGCTGACTCGCCTGCTAGCCACACCTCGCACGACGCAAAGAAAAATAGCCGGGAATCCAACGCGAAATTTTACAGGCATTAGTTTAGCAGCGAACATGAGAAATATGGTCTTAGGGGCGATTTATCCTGTTTCCGAACGGAGAATCATGTTGGACGTAATGACACTAATTGTAAGGATCCTGTTAACCACTAAGAAAATTAGCATGACTAGGATGAAAGGTGCATTGAAGCAAACTTACGTCCCTCATATTACAGCCGAGTTAATTGTAAATATATCACGTAAATATCAGGTACGGGTGCGAGCTACGTTGCACTTATGGCACATTATTGTATTTAATGTGAACATAGATCATAATTTGCGCCGAGTCGGGGTATGTGATGGGAAAATGTGACATTAGAGGCAAATAAAATTGTTTCGCTTATGAAGATATGAGACCCGTAGCGCCTTCGCACCATTGTGTTTTGACCGCACTGTGTTGTTTGGGTGGATTGATGTGTGATGTACCAACTCCACAATGTCAATTTTGTGTGGGCGTGCAATGACGGGAGGGGGTGGGGATGGGGAATAATGGTTGGGAGAGTGCACTATATGATAGGCATGCAAGTTTCAGAATATTCGTTCGTTAACCTTTGCATGAACGTGGCTACATAAACTTAGTTCAAACACGATATAAAAGGCACATGCCCTTTACACGCAGGTATATGCCAGCGAAGGCGTATTCTACAATCCTATTTCACTCACACCAGCTCCTAATGCAATAATACATCAGATGCCGTGTGAAATACGCACGTTGTTTATAAATAGCAATGTTTCGCAGAAAACTCAGAGTTCGAAGCGTGCATGCAAGCATTTGCGATCGGACAAGAGTCTTGGAACCATCCAGTAACAAATCAACAATAAGTCTAAATGCTGCAACAAGGCTGCCTACAGACATCTAACATACTTGTTCTAAATGCTGGAAATTAAGGGGCCCGTGGTCCGCGATTCCAATAACTTGCCTCAGTCTGATATCAAACCTACCCGCGTATGAGCATGAAATACCACATAAATGTTTTTTTTTCTAGGGGGGGGGGGTGACTTCGACGTTAATCTGATCAGTTATAATTGATAGCACCCACTCATGATCAGTGCCACGACCGTAAGTCGTAACAGCTTTTGACGGTTTTGGAGGCTACTTTGATATCGCTGCGGATCTATAGGCTGATAAATTGTTTTGTCGAGAATATACGTATGTAGTCTACGGATCTAGTGGAATCGTTACAACTGGGCACGACGAGTCTACACTAAGATGAGGCCTGAGGGAAGAGGAGTCATGAGATGCAAACGACACTGTTCCTTACATTGTTGCTGTTTTTTGCGTTTTCCCCTACACGTGTTTTTCGTGTTGATGAAAATTCCGCTCTGCGAAAAATGTCATAACATTGCGTCCAATAAAAGTACATAATCAATAGACAACTAGAGTACTTACTGGCTGACATCGCCGAGCTTATTCGTGCTGGAAATATCTCGTCTTTTTGAACGGTCGTCTCCTGCTTTACTTCCATGCTGCTCCAGATTGGTTGACTGCAACAGGACAGGTCCGACCGGGTCATGGTCAGTAGGTGGAACCAAGCTGGGTTTGGTGCAATGCGATTGGTCGTCGCTCTTTTTGTTTTTGACCATGCAGTCAGCGAGTCCATGCAAGCTCAATCTGGGTTTATAAAAACAGTCTTATGTAAGGAGTTATCGCCAAACAACGCAGCGTGTCAGGAATTTATAAATTCATAACAGACACTTTCCAGTTCATACCAAGCATGGTCACATATTTACAACTTTTGCTTGTGGGCAAATAAACCCTGCCCCAACGACACGATAATCATTGACACGGGGCTATAGCCGTGTTCCAGTCCAGACGACGGATGGCCCCTGCCAGCCGAAACTCGTCGAGATAGGACGGTAAACAAATTGGGCTCATTCTCAGACATGGCAATAAATCAGCTAACTGCATTATACATAATAGCTCTCAGCGATGGAGTCGTCGAGAACTGCCAAGACTGCGGCCAAAGGAACGGTTGAGGGACTGTCAGTCAGAATGTGTAGGGACTTGCGGGCTGGCGGCATTCAGGCGGCATCCCTAGACCCTACTCGCAGCTCGCAGCTTTCTATTTTTTAGTTTTTATAATCCTGTTTTCCTGGTACAATGTATGGAAAAGTAACTGTTTAGCATTATGAAGATGCTGAATGGCACAGCATATATAAGTGAAATTCGATGACCTTGATTTTTATGTTTTAAGGAAAAAATGCTGTATGCTTAGGAAGCAAGCAGCTAAGAAAAAATGAGGTTTGTACAAAGACCGTGTGTCTTTCTCCTACGACCATGATATTACGCTTTAATTGCTTCGTTAAAACGGCAGTATTATGAAGGATGTCACTAACTTATCGCGTTTTTTATCGTTAGTTTCTTTGGGTACCAATTTTGTAGAAGGAATCATTTCAAAATGTCTGCCTGCGCTATACCGAAAAAAGTCTGGTACCTTCTCTTGGATCGCTTCCCAGCAGTAAACTGGGAGGGATCGTTAATTACATACTTGCATCAGTCGATGGTTTCTACTGCAGGGGCGCGTACTTTCTGAGACGCAGACATGGTTTGGTTGAGGTCCATGTTGAAGATGCATTTTGTGAAGACCGTGGCAGACTGCGACAAAATGGATACTGAAGACAACCTGCGCTGGAAAAATTCGCTTGTTGTAAAATTTATAAGGCATCAGCATTTGTAACTAATCGCAATAAACTACCTTTCAACGCTCCAAATGCTGTGAAAAGCACAGTAGCCGTGTAAAAGTTGTTATCTCCGTCCAAGACATGTATGTGTCCTGTAAGGAAGTCGAACTCGGAATATAGGCGTGGCGTCACGCATAAGTGACGCATGATGTCATGGGAAAAGGGCCGACGAAAAAATGTCTAGCTTAGAGAATGACAAATTGCGTACAGTGTTCGCCGGATGACGTTTATAAAACATTCTTATCATTCTCACAGTTAGGTTGCATAGGTACTATTGGTCTTAGCTCACCCATACCGAATCGTAAAGCCTGTGTGATTGGTCGCTTGATTTCCGCGTTCGCATCACGCGCAGTTCCATAATGGCTGCGGCTGTCTCCACGTCATGCATTTTACAGACCACTCCGTTAATATGGAGCATACTTGTTAACAAAAATGATTGATTTATGTCACCTGCCAATGATTTTGATAACCATATCTACCTTCCTTATAATTTTGCACGTGTGGTAAAGCCATGCCCCATATTTGACGCGCTCTGAAAACATGCAGCATTTTATGTGACGTAAGCGCTACTTTAAAGGCGTGAAAGGCTGGCCAGAAATGTGAAATGTCAGAGAGTGGCAATTTACCGATAAATATTGTATAAATCATATATACCACATGATGAGCTAAATTTAAGTAGCCTGGGACAAAAAGTAATATTTCCTGATCGATACGAGCAAGCTATGACGATGAGTGCAACTGCAGCGGGCTGCCAACATTGCTAAAAAAAAAACTATTGCAGTGGTTGTGCCCACAAGATACCTTCGTACGTGGCGATTGTTTAGGCACCAAAAGAAGCTAGGCCAGATTTGCTTTTTGAACGGCCTCACCATTTGGTGACGATCCCAATGAACACACAGGGCTAGTCGCTGGTGACAGTTTGGAATATTTGAAACTGGGTGTAGTGTAGCTTTGAGCTTTGAGCTTTGAGCTTAGTGAAGCTTTGATTTCTCATTGAGCTTTTCATACGTTTCCCCATAAAAAAACACTAAATAATATTTGTGTTTCAGATATTCAATGATTTCCCAGCCAGTATCGCCAAAAATGTCAGTGCGTCAATCAATTATCCATGTTTAATTTTTGTGCTCAGTTCCATGCGATTTAAAGCGCTACACAACGTTATGCATTGGAGCGGCTGTCTCACATCGTACCAAGTTAGACCGTTTCGTACATGCTCTTGGAAAAATGCCTTATTTTTAAAACATGCAAATGAAGAATGACCATAATTGGCAGTAAGCAGCTTTTTGGGACCTCGAATAGATCACCTGGCCCACTAGAAATCCTGAAAAAATCAGAATTGTACTGATCTCGGGCAGCTTTTGCCAAATTGTCAGGGAACTCAGATTTGTTTTTCAATAGAAAAACACAATTCTAAACAATAGTGTTTTAACTATTGACAACAAACCTTCGGTTATTAAGTTTAGGATGTTGGCTTATGACATTTTGAGCTGCTTGGTGAAACATGGTAACTTTTCTTAAGACCAATCACTTTCACACATGAGTTTCCCAGGCTTCTTTAATTATGCAAAAGCCAACGAGAGCCTGTCTCACTCACGGTCGAAACCTGCAAAGGTAGCCTATGCACCGCAGGACCGTTGGAGAAATGCATATGCCACTTTTTGCATTGGTTCCCACCAATCGGCTATTATGACTTCAGCGATTAATAGATTTCCTGTCAAATTTCCGTACAAGATGGCGGCTGGTCCATCGATAAGCGGTTGCAAGTGCAACCCCGGCGCCATCTTGACACTCGTTCAGATGGCCATAAATCGTCTCTGTCCAGTCTGGGCCGATGTTGGCGAGATGGGAATCGTCGCCGAGCGATGACAGTTGCCACTTGGTCAACGTCATAAATCGACTGGACCATCTTGACGTCATATTATGCATGTTGGGCGTCGGTGCTAATTGCACAAAAAACTCGCCCACTGTGGACGGGTGGTGCGCCACATTCGCAACTCTATCGACCTGTTTTCCTCCGTGCCACCCAGGCGGTAGCCTTGCACGTGCGCCGGATATGGCGAGCCGTTGCGAGCGAGCGGGCCCCCGTG